TACAGTAGCCTCATTTTGTGTGAAGCATTTCTTCTTTTGTTTATATTGTTGTTTTGTTGGTCTTGCCAGCATTTTCGCTAAAACATTGTTTTTTTTCTCCAGATAGCGAAGCTATGGGGTTCTTACTTCAAATAACAATGAGTTGCCCGTGCGCGCTTTCGAGACAGGTTGCTGGTGCTGGGTGCCGGTGCTGGTGCTGGTGCTGTGAGCTGGCTGAGCACGTGGTGGAGACAGGTTGCTGGTGCCGGTGCTGGTGCTGGGTGCCGGGTGCCCGTGCTGGTGCTGATGCTGGTGCTGTGAGCTGGCCGTGCACGCGGTGGAGACAGGTTGCTGGTGCCAAGGCTGGTGCCAAGGCTGGTGCTGGGTGCCGGTGCTGGTGCTGGTGCCGGTGCTGGTGCTGTGAGCTGGCTGCGCACGTGGTGGAGACTTGCTGGTGCTGGTGCCAGGTGCCGGTGCTGGTGCTGGGTGCCGGGTGCCGGTGCTGGTGCTGGTGCTGTGAGTTGGCTGTGCACGTGGTGGGGACAGGTTGCTGGTGCTGGTGCATGGGCGAGTGAAGCCTACGGGTTTTGCCGCTTGCGCGCGTACTTTTGTGCGCATAATCTTATACGCGCAAGATCATACGGCCTTATGGTTCTGCAGATCGTTGCTTCAAGCATGCTACAAAGTCAATAGTGGCGCTGGATACTGCTTGGCCTTGGGCCAATGACACTTACAGGCTTTGCTGTTTGCCCGCGTGCTTTCGTGCGCATAAACTTTTACGCGCAAGATCATACGTTGTTATTCCCCAAATAGGGATAGCTATGGGCTATGGGGTTCTTGCTGCAAATAAGAATGAGCTGGCTGCGCATGCTTTCGAAAGGGTGTTGGTGCTGGTGCTGGTGTTGTGGTACTAGGTGCTGGTGCTGTGAGCTGGCTGAGCGCGCGTTGAAGACGGGCAGCGGCGCTGGCGCCGCTGCCGGTGTTGTCAGCTGGCAAAGGGCACCGGTGCTGGTGTCAGCTGATTGTGCGCGCTGTGGAGGTGGCGTAAGCTGGCTGTGCAGGCTGAGTACATTCTTTGTCCAACCAGTCGCAGTGGTTGGTGTCAAGACTTGTGCACTGCCCTCCAGGCGGCGATGGGTGTGTTTTGTCAACAGGTCGTGGGATTCTGCCTAGCTATCTGGGTCTATGCTGGTGCAATTTTGTTTATTGGTTCCTTCTTTTGCATTTTACTCTCAATCTTTGGGCCTGGTCTGATCAAAAGCTATACCTACGTTTTGGTGATGTTTGCCCC